TTGAACACAGAGCCTTGGCTTACGTTTGTTTGAAACATTTCAGGTACATTTTTATATGCAATATGTGGCTATTTTCAGCTGTTTTTATGCCCCCTGTCGTAGTGGAAGTTTTGCCCTAGTCCGTCTGTTCATCTGTACATCCCAAAATTGGTTATAAAACATATGTCCCTGTAATGTGTAAGACCTCTGTCAATGTTCAATTTTATTTCAGGAACAAAGGTGTATGAAAATCTGCAGGGAATTGTGTGTCACTGTCAAATGAAAAAGAATGTTGTCATGCAAACAGACATCAGCCTTGGAGGGGTACCATTCTGTAATAAACCACTTTGCACCCAAAATGATTGACTTTTCTTACCATGGAATACTTTGCAAGTAAAAATGTGATAAAATGCCCCACAGTGCGCAGCATGATATGCACAAATTTGAATAATTTGCATATGAAATGAACTCCGTGTCTACCCATTGTTTGACATTAGTTGAAAAGATTTGCTTTTTGTTCTCATATTTTTTTCAGTGATTTTCGGTATGAAACAAATGGACTACATTAGTTTTAATGAAAAAGGGAACAAGCAGTAACAAAGGATGGCAGAGCACGGTACAAGATAGCCTACCCAAAGTTTAAGAAGGGGGATTATTCTGTCAGAAGAATTTTGGTAGACTGCACATATGGTAAGTGATCCAAGTAGTACTGATCTTTAAAAGCCAAGCAAGTCAAGTGTTGGTCATTAATGTCTGGATTCTTCATGTATTACATACACCAACAAGGTGTTAGACGGGTAGGTGTATCTAATTAAAGGGATTGTAAAGAGGTTGTTTAAACTTTGTATGTGAATTGGGGACACTGATCACTCATAGTGATCTGCATAGATATCAATAGTAGATTCCGGTAGATCACTGTCGGTGACGCCATAGTGGAATTGCAAAAACCACAGACGTTGGAATGGAAATTGGAATGGCGCAAATTGATGTTATCAGTGTCCCGATACACATACAAAATTTAGAAAACCTCTTTACAATCCCTTTGTAAAAACAAAAATTTCTATATTTCGAAGTTAAAATGCTTCAGTGGTAATATACAAGTATTTTAAAGATTAAACTTTTTATTCTTGTAGACTATGTACAAACAGTAATGGCCACAGCGATGGGTCTTAGAGAGGTGTCACATATGAATGAGCATGGTGTTAAACTGCTGAAGGTCCCCCCTCCTCTTTGTAGTGAATATGAGCGACCAGACAAAGTGATAGACGTTCAAAATCTGATGAGCCGCTTCAACAATGCAGTACGGTAAATAGTCACTGTCTGCCTGATGGAAACCAGTGTAATTCCGGCACGGAAATGTGCCCTTGATTCGTAATACTGCACATGAAGGAATGACTACCGTACCAAGGAATTGCCAGCACCATGTAACAAACTGTCTATATGCAGTATATCTGTTGCGTCTGAAAACAGAATTTAAACTTTGATTTTGGAACAAATGTGACAAATAAAATATAAAGGACTTAAATTTAAATTACAATCTACTTATGTCCTATGATAAATATTTTGCCAACTCTTATATATCTTGAGAAACATGATGATTTCTAAGTACAAGGTCAAAAGCTTAGCTTACTGTTGAGAAGCACATGTCCAATGATAAAAATTATGTCCGTTATTTACAGCGGTTGCTATAGAGATTGCTTACATATTTGATATCTAGTCTGTTATATTAAAATCATGGTTCGCAAAAATGTCTTTGTAACCCGATAGAGAAATAAATTGTACAATTCCCAACTTTAAATTTAGAATGGATGCATGGAATTTATTTTGTTTTGGTATTTTATTATTTTATAATTGCTGTAAAATTGTTTAGACATTTATTTTGTAATGTGCAATTTACAATTTGATAGAGTTTAAAAGAAGTATTGAAGACATAGAATTAGTTTATTACTCATTAGCCTGTTCTGGTCTGTCTCCATATTCCTGTCTGTACTGGAAGTATGCAACACTAACAACATGAACGTCAAGGCAAATCCTGGATGTTGTGTTATGCAGGAAATGTCTGCGCTTCATATATTTTATTTTTTTCTGTGACACCTTTGTAGTCCAAATATTTAAGACGTCTTAAAAGGTTTTTTTAGTTTTCTGTCACACGTTCGTACAATAAGTCATAATTATTTGGACCCCCCCCCCCCCCACCA